TAATCTTTGTTTTGTTATACTTGGCTTCGATTTTAATTTTGCTTTCATGAAATATTCTTTTTATATCATATTTTAAAAAAGCAATGAAAATCAACTAATATCAATTTTAAGTAAATTTTTCGCTGTTTTCAATTTACTTTGAGATGTGTAACACGATGTAATTGTATAAAATAGAGGTGAATAGCAGTATGGTTTGGTTGTTTTTTTCCTGCAATATTAGTTTGTTTAGCGTTTTATGATCTCTTGTCCCACGTATGCTTTATGTACTATTGTCCGTCGGCTTATAAAAGATTATCGCAATTGCCGAAGTGGATTTCCAGATCTAACTGTTTGGAATGATGAAAAGAAACTTTTAGCTGTAAGTTTATTGCTAGTTGTAGTAATTTTCAAAAAGTCTTAGGGCATTGGTAGAAATCCTTTTTTAAACTACCGTGTACTTGAAGGTTTAAAATTTTAAACAGAAATTTATTTCATTTAACTTTTCATTGCAGGTTGTTGAAGTTAAAGGTCCAGGAGATAAGTTATCGACAAAACAACGTCTATGGTTAAATTTTTTCAAAAATCAGAATATAGTCGCTCATGTTTGTCATGTTACTGGTAGAGTAAATTAGCATTTTTGCTAAATTAGCATTTTTCATATCATAAAGTGTTAAATTCCTTGCCATTTAGTAGTGCTTACTTTAATGATACACAAATATTGATAATTTTGATTATTATTTTTTTTAACAATTTTGTATTTCCGTTCTGGAAAAAAAGGAAAAAAACAACTTTCTTTTTTATATATTTTTTTTGCAGCTCGGAATCCACGCAAGCTCGGCAAGTAGAGAGTATATTTGTATCAACATGTGACTGCTTAAACAGGATAACCTACAAATTATCTTCATATTAGCATACATTATCTTATACCATTCTCTTATTTCCAACTGGATCCGAAATTTAGTTTCCAAGTTTCGTATAAAATGCATCATAGATTTATGCATCCTACTTTGCTATGATTTACTGTTTAATAAGTTGTTGCATTATTTTATGCTTTCAATCTGTTATTTTTATTTTGTATTGCGTGAGAAAACAAACTTTTTTGTACAATATTTAAAGCAGTCACCAAGTTACCGCGATACTTTTACATATGCGAAGTTATTTTAATACCCTCTTTCAAATTTGAAACAGCACATATATTGTAAGCAGTCCCTAAATTGTTTTTGATCATACTTATGATCATAAGATAATTTAACGACTGTGTGCAGTAGATACTACCGTTTACATCGGAAGGAGCGTATAAGTAATCTATTTTCATTAAAATTTTCTGAAATATGTTTGATATAATTAACCGTTGAATATATAGTCGTCCAGTCTCCTTACCATGATTCAATAGTTCAAAAAGATTGATAGCGGAGGAAATCACTGAGTAACCTTCATTATATTAAATGCATTTTTGGTGGGTGGTTGCTGTACTGTTGTCAGTACTAGGAAATGGTAAGGAACGGACGTGTAAGTATAAAGGGTTTGAATTAATCGCACTGGTTACTAATTCACCATAGTTATATCATTCTGACATTAGTACTGGGAGACAATCTTACAACCTGATTTACATACTAATTTATATTACACAGAACTAGAGTCGACTTATGTCTCCTATCCACCGGCGGAATACCGCTTCCGTAAGTCACTGTTTAACAAATCTCTGTGCGAGAAGTATACGTTGGAGTGCATTTACGTAAGTTTTGAAGATTTTAATACATTACTTATCTGTGTTATAGCTAAAACAATCACGAGATACAGAGAAAGTTGTTCAGAAAATGTCTGACGAGCTTCAGTGAGGACTATGTCGCCATTTTCATGTTTTTAAATATCTTGGAAACTTCGGAAGAACTAATTTGTTATTTCCACTTTCTTCAGTATCGGTCAGAATATCCATATGGTGATTTAAGAATTGATAAGAAAACAGGCGAGGAATACAATCCATGTCACTCGTTTGTTGAACCATGTTTTGGGATTCCTGTAGACGAATACAGAAAGGTGAAAAAATTCAGAACCTTAAGGGAATATTAACTGGTTCTGGTGCTTATTTCATTTCTCAGTTTTTACAAAGCTTTATAATACCACTTATGGAAATTATATTGCAGAATAAAGGTAATAATCAGTTACTCATTAATGTTGAGTTCCATAGTATTTAATATTATATTTGCTTCAGAAATAAATTTTTCCAACTCTGCTTAATGCCAGCTAATTAGTAGTGGTGTTTATTCAGTTTCTTGTAACTATTGCTGTTTTTGAGAAGTAAAGCTGCGCAGAAATTCAATCGAAAAGTAGCTACTCGCTCACTAATCGAATTTTTTTTCACAAGAAATTAGCATGACAGTAATAATAATAATGAATCAATGATAGAAGTGCCAATAACACTCTACAAAGGTATTGAGTAACCAACTAAAAGGCATCTCATATTACAATTATTATAGAAGAAAACCACCCACAATTGCACATATTAGCTTTGATCAGAGGAGAACTAGTAGTTTTGGTAGGATAAGTGCTGGCAAATAAAAGTGTTGCAAACTAAGCATCTGAATTATACTTCTTCAAGTACTCATCTTGAATGTTTCTTTGACGGCATGCGTCTAAAACCTTCTTTTCAATACTAAACAAGTACTCATCATTGATATGCGATGCCATTCGATGTAAACAGTCTGCTAATCGTAAGACATACTCGATGTTTGTTCCACTTGGTCCACGAGCTTCAAGTATCTAAACAGTTAGTGAACTTTGCCTGGTGTCTTTTATTTTCTTACATGCTATTTGATAACCGTAAATTATGCAAAGGCATTAGAAAATTACAACATACTGTTTGCACTACAGTGTCTTCATCCGTTGGACCTGTGAAGTATGGATTTTTATGTATTGTAGCCATATAAGCATTTATCATGAATGGCGGGCCATTGTCATCAGGATAAAACAATATTTCTTTCTTCTAAACATAAAACCTGCTAGACCAACAAAACCTTCGCAGCTGAATTTTCAATCGAAACTGATACAACAAAAAAACAAGTAGCTTGAACAACTTTTGTAATAATCTGGTAACACAATTTTTTTTATATAATTATGATTAAGAACACATACAGCAAATAGTCCTGAAAATTACCATGTAACCTGCTTTTTCTCGTACATTTAAATATTTGATAGTATCTGAAACGTGTTCCTCAGCTACTTTGTAAGCTAATCCCCAACAAGAGCCATTATTATCTGCCACAAGTGTTACTGTACGACCTGGCTGCAGAAATTTTCTTGAAAAATTTGCTAATTACAGAACCCATGGAATTATTGTTTAAAAGTTGCATTTGGGGCAATCAGCATTAACTATTGTTATTAATGTTAAAAAGTCTGAGCAGCATCAATATTTCGAATCTTCCGTATAAATATAGTCGCTGTAATTACTACCTAAAAGTAGCAACAAAAGAACCAACATTGTCTGGGGTACCTCTGTGATCTGGACTTAACTGCCAAAACCGACGAGAATAACCACGAACGATGCCAGGAACGACTTGTTTGTAAGGGAAATCCGTGTACCATAAAAGTGAACCATAACCAAATACCCACATTTTTTAAAGCCTGAAAAGAATAAGGAACACTCGCGTCCACTTCTCTCCTTAAAACACTTGCTCTCCAAATCAAATCAAAATGATCATTAAATCCTTGACGTGGCTAACTCAAGACCACAAACCGTTCACAACGTTCCAATCCCGGGATTCTCACATATGTACACGATTAAACACAAAAAGTGCGACAATCATGATACCATCTCCTCGTCTTAATACTTGGAAATGTGAAACGTGGAATGACCAGTCTGAGCCACTCACCCACTTTCATGATAGGAACGAGCACGCCCTATACACAACAATAATTTTGAATGCTCTAAACCCATGAACTAAAAAACAAAAAATGTAACTTGAGTAATTTAATGACATCGAGATGTTTATTGCGCAAGAGCACTTACCAAATTTAAACGTGAAAATCTGAGATGCGAAAAAAGTCTACAATTTAGAACACATCAACTTTTTCAAATTAAGAATTTACATGCCATGAATTTTACAGCACACATGCATCACAGGACAAATTTCATCCTGGTAAGATGAATAACGGGTTCGAAGTCACTCTTAACTGAAATGTCACAAAACAAGAACTGGACAGCATTGTTATAGTTTCAGATCATTTTAAAAATATATGAAAAGTGAAAAACTATACAAAATGAAACAGATGCTTCCTATTCTACTGAAAGTTCAGCACAGAATGATATAAACCATCCAAAAACAAGTTATGAATCATGATGCCGAATTATCGGAATAGACCGCAAAACGGTTCTTTACTTCACTGGCAAGAATCGATGCTACCATCTGTACTGTTGCCATAGCACCTAAGCCCGTATCTCCACACATCAATTCTTTTTCTATCGGTGGTATCTCCTACAAAAAACTATTTGTTACGAAGATAGTATTAGACATAAGATTACTGCCAATACCATTATGCGATGACAGTAATATACAGCTGTATACAATAACTGCACAAACAATATATTTAAATAGAAGCTCGTTAACCTTATAGCGTAGCAGTTCTTTTAAAACTTTACGGTGCTGATAAGTTAGCGGATTTTCCCACATGGCAACATTCATTGCCGGAGCATAATATAAAGGTTTTCGTGGATCCCATGCGCGAACAATAGACAACAATAAATTGTCGCATATACCATTTGCAATTTTAGCCAGCGAATTTGCATCCAATGGAGCGATTAACATCGCATCAGACCACTTTCTCAATTCTGATATGAATGAATAATATGACTAAAATATTTCTTCAATCAAAACCAAATTAATTTAGGATTAACTTCAGGGTACATTTAATAGGCAAAATTGTTGAAGAATATGTGAAACGAAAGTTATGAACATAAATGACTGCGAAGTACATGTCAAAATTTTCAGAGCACAGACCGATGTGCAAAATTGGATCTCCTCGTTTCTTCCACATATTCCATTCATCCATATCACTATAAATAGGTACTTCAAATGTAGATTCGTCAATGAATACTCGTGCCGCATCGGTTGCTACAACTCGAATAACCTGAAATTTTTGAAGTTTATTGTTACCATTAAATAAATTTCCAACGAGATTTCAAAAAATGAAATTAAACTTTACCAACTTTCCTTCAGGACTACTTTTATTAAGTTCTATAAGAAGTTCAGCAAGTTTCATTGATGCCACTGATCCAGTAATACCAATTAAGAGATGAAATTTCCCTCCTTGCCGAATGAATTTATGATCGGGCCCATACGGTTCACGCATTTTCAAGTTCTGAATGCAAGCGTGATGAAAGTGAAAACAACCAAATGTTTTTCAGAAGAAAAAAAACCTAAAAGCAAGGAAAGCATTCCTTCATAATATTTATTGACTTTTACGTTAATCAATAGATACTTTTAAGAGAAATTAAATGACCTGATAGAGATCAAATAAACGGAATCATATTTTATCAGTCTGAATATCTGGTATCTGCACTCATTTAACCAACTACATTTTTCTTCTATTTTTTGTGTTAGAAAAGGAGGTTCCGAAACTTAAACTAACATCGAATGTTGTTACATCAATTTGAGCATAACTGGAGTCTGTATCATCATCCAAACGTGCTCTTTTCAGCACAACTGGTTGCTGTTTTTCCGACATCTCTCCTAGGTTTTCATAAACACTGTGGTCAACAACTTCTACTTGATCTTCACTCACTTCTGAATCAGCTCTTTGTATAACACCTTCTCCAGCTGGTACTTCGTCGGTGACGTACAATGGTATCGGTCGCGGCTGAATATACTGCAAAGAAAATTTGTTTAACTAAAAAATCTCATAATAAGACGGATATAAAGTGACTAAGATAAATGGAACACTTCTTTATATGAAACGAGCTACTTTATACTGAAATCCCTTTCCTTCTTTATCATACAGTCCGTGAATATTTCAGAACAATGAGAAGCGAAGCAATTGAAACGAGATGTAATTAAACGAAGCCTGCATAAACGATAAGAGAGTTACTACGCAGCAGTGCCAACAATTACCGGGATAGATGTGGCGGTAACTAAAGCTTATAGACGCTATGTTTCAACGCGTCTCATAATTTGTAACTTTGCCGCATGCCACCTCCCCCTTCCCCACCCGACTACCTTGAAAACACAACCTTGGAGAATAAGTACCTTTCATACAAAAAGTACCTAAGTAAAGTAAACAGAAAATTAAAAACATGAAAAATAAAAAGTACCAGACTGTTTCGAGCTAACTTTTGCCGGAAAGATTTCATCACATTCCTTACTTGCTCTTTATTACGTAATCTCCGTGGAGTAACTCGTGAGCTGCTTGCACACTGATCATATATACTTTGTTCCGTCAATCGATCATAAATCTAAACCATACATATAATTTCAAAAGAAAATTATACGAAAACTGCGCTTCAGCTTTTCACAGTGCCTAGCTACTTCATTCCTTCAAAATACTTTCATTTATTTCAGTACTACAAACTTACTTCAACCGCATTAGTGCTTGAGATAGTTTGTTCCTTTACTTCTTGCAATAAAATTGGTAAAGTACGAAGAAATGGCTGTTGATTTCTTTTAGCATTTCCATGCGGTGCACTGTCAGAAACCTGACTTGCCACCACATGATCCCCAATATAATGGAAAAGTACCAAACCACAAGGTTCTCGCGAATATTCACAACGTCTATAAATCTTAATGACTTGATTTTTCCAAATTTAGTTTTACTGAAAATTTTTTTCCTACGTTTTGTCTCGTACAAATCACATTATGGGACTTGGAAAGTTGTCTAGATTTAGCGAAATCAACGCATGTGGGTATCAGACAGATCACTGCAAGTGCGTGTATTTTTGAGAAGTTGACTACAAGATTCTTCATAGATCTTTAATTCAAAGTGAGTATTCTAAAAACACATTCCTTGACATCGAAAGTCAGTTCTAGAGACTTAAGCCAGAGATTCAGTTTCGGTATTTGAAATGATGTTGTATGATGCATTCGAAACTAATAAGAATTTTGGTGCATACCTCAGAACTTTAGGCTCTTATATCACCAAAATTAATCAAGACTCTTCTTAAGCGATATTTCCATTTAAGTGCTGATTTTTGAATAAAATGATGGTACTCGGAAATTTTTACTTACATAAATCTGTCATCACCGTGTTGGTCTTTTTTACTGTAAAGTAAGTTATATCGTTTCTGCAATCCGTTGCTCAAATTATGAACCCCCTTAGAATTTCCCCACCGATATCCATCAACGCGAAATGTTCGACGCACTTGGTCATCACTTAAAGTACCACGAGGGTAAAGTGTACAGTCATATACGACAATAGTACCACCTTCTGGTCGATACATAGGTCCATTTGTACAAATCAAGTTTCGATTTCTCTCAACCTTATCTGCAGTATTAGGAAACTATAAATTTCACTACAGTAGTGTAGAAATTGAAACATTGTGTTCTATAAAACTGTCAGTCTTCTTAATGCTAATGATACCAACAAATAGAAATACTCAAGATAGAACATCTTAAAAATGTGGAATTTCACCATCCATTTGCTTGCACTTATATTTCAAGTTTCTTTACTTCAGACTAATCTGGGTAGTAAAACGCTCATGTTTTTTCTGTCAGTTAATAAGACTTAAGATATAACAAATACTCAGTAAACTGGATTGCTATCTACTCGAAATATATACTCTACATGTTATATATACAGACTACCCCTATCATTCAAAGACGTCTGACTCAGTTAAAAGATTTGAATTCCTTATATTGATATGTGATGATTAATATCAGTATAATCCCTAATAAACCTGACTGCAATCAGTTTCTGATTTTTTCAAATAATCACCATTCCAGAGATAGTGCATTAAATTTTACAGCCGGATTAATGTCCACAGTTATTCTATCTTTAGTCAATATTTATTTATTTAATTTCTGAATGCCATAGAGTTTATATTACTTATTCAATAATTCCTTTCTGCTTCTTTCTATATTTATAATCTTGTACAGAGAAAACGTTACGCGACCAATTTAACTAAGACTTTTACGTGGTAAAATACGGCATCAACCAGTCTGAAAGACTATTGTGCGAACCATTAAGTACCGCAAACTCTGGTCGTGGTAAAAGATGGATTCTAAAAATTGGTGATTGAAAGTATTTACCCAATACTGCGCTGTACTGATCAAGGGTAAGCGGATTTGGAACACCAGTACGATATACTATCCGTGGCTTGCGCAAATATGTTTCTTGCATTTTTCACTTGTGATGCCGTTTAATTTTGCTGAAATGATTTTAATAAAAGCATAAAATTGAACGGATTTGAAAATATAAAATCCTCAAACCAAAAATACAATTCTCTTTAAGCACAAATTAAGGTAATTATTAACTGTGCAAAATAGATATAGTACTATTTAGCCTGTGCTACGGAATGAAATCGGTGTAAGATTCCGCATCATTATTAGCAGCTAAAAAGTACAAAAGTTATGCCAAGTAACTTATTTCTTTTATTGTACGTATTTTGTAAGTACTATTAGCATTAAGTAAAGAACACTTTTTTGATTACTGTTTGTATTTACTGTAATTTTTCATTTTGTAATTATGATTTTGTAAGAATTTTGGCATACTCATATTTTATACCTGTTCTTTGAATAATATCATTCTAAATTCAAACAAGAGATTCAATTAAAAAAAAGTTTGAAGTTTGTATAATTCAAGTACTCTTCATCCAGTAATAATGAAAATCAGTAATTGTGGTACTTCAGTTTACAGAAATATATTTACACTTTGAAAAATGCAAACACATCAAATTTGCCTATTTCATTTTTTTAAATAAATTTTTTTGCTTAAGTTTCTTGCTGACAAATTTCAATTTGTATTAGTAGTCAAAAAATTGAGCATTCATGTAAGCATTGTAAGTAATAACTGTTGGGCAATTTCAGTGCATAAAATTTTTTCATTTTCTCAGCTTTTAGCTTAGATTCTTTGCGTTTACATCATTCAATTTACTAAATAACTTATTTAATTAAATTGTTTTCTAAACTTTTTATTTTGGATTTTCATGGATAATAAAAATATTTGTGTACCGTGAGCTTATGTTGTAGAATAATTTAGTTTTAGGGTAGCTTTGACTCTTTGAAATGTTTACTTACTTTTGGAGCAAAGATTTTTTCATTCCTTGCATTTGTTTTGTGTCAGAGTTTTATTTTTTAGAATGTATTGTATTGCTTTTCAGAAATGCTTAAAAGATCGTTTGACAAACTAAGATATTCAGAACTTGTTGTTAACTGATACGCAACTAAATGCACGTGAACATTGGACATTGTCGTGAGATTTTTGAATTTATTCTAGTATTATTGTATGAAAATGTCTGCTAGCGATTAAAAAGATCACTCTATATTTTGTGAAAATTTTTCTACATTGAGACTTATGCATACATATATTTTTATTTTTGAATAAAAGTAATGTTTGTTAGTGATTTGCACTTCAGTTGATCAGTTAGTGAGCTGTACTTTCAATGATCAGTGCAGAGTTGTTCATGTTTGAATCTATGAAATTGTAATCTTTTCACGTATTGTCATTTGAACGTCATAGAGCTTTGAACTCAAGTTTCAAATTATTTATCGTTGTCTTTCGTGCATATTTATTACAGTGGATGAATTTGATGGCGTCGTATGTGTTTTTTAATAAAAATTATTTAATCGTTGAGTTTTTTTAATCCAAGTATATAATTTGTGAAATATGGCATTGCTTTGACTGGAAAAAGAAAGTGTATTGATCGACAAACAAGAATTGGAATACGACATTGTGCAGATAGTGTAAACGAGTTTCCGGTTTTATAAGTGGTCAAATGATTCACCAATATACTGTCAATAAAGGATACAGTTAAAATGACACTTTTTTCTTTAATATGATTTTTTATTTGAAAATAGAGAAGTAATTTTTGCTTTTCATTTTTATTTCCCAATAGATTCAGCTAATCATTTTCAGTTTGCTTAGCAGTGCCTGATTTATCCTTGGTTAATTGATCGCAGTCAAGTACGAGTTTTTTACACACATCACATTATCATTACTATTATTTCACTTATTCTTATTATCATTATTATTATTATGATTATTATTTTTAATGCCGATTGTGTTTAGGACATTTTTATGCCTCTTTTTTAATGCTTGCTGTTTTCTGCACTTTCACTTCTGCAGTATTTCGCTTGTAACTTTGTATGTTCTTCAGAACATATTCTTTCCAGGCTTTCTGTTTGGATGTATTTTCCCCATGTCTTTGTATTTTTTCCATGCAAAGCATGTTTTGTTTTCAGTGTAATTAATCATGGGTTAATGGTATTTGGTTATGGATTTAATTTACGATGAAAATGTTTATGTTATAGGAAATAATGCACGAATTGAAGGACTGGAAAAAAGAAGAGAAGGATGTGAACCAAAAAAAGCTAAGTGAGTCGCGTTGTGTGAATTTGCCGCCCATAAAACTCCCGTTGTCGGTATACTTTTGTGTAATTTACTTAAGTTCGTAAAGTTTTAGTGGTTATTAACGCTAATCTATTATCTAAGTTCGGGTATTTTGGGTTTGTGTTTCTCTCATTATTTGCGTATCGAATTTGGAATTTTGATCCAAAGGAAGGTTTATTAAATGTTTGTCTTTGAAGTGTGTAGTTGTGACAAAATTTGTATGAGATTGTTTCTTGTCAGTCATTTCGTTGTAAAAATTTAAATACCACAAGTTCATTTCATTATAAAATTTTTTTTAGGAAGTATTAATTTTTTTTATGTTCATTAAATTTTGTTAATTAAATTTTAAGTTTCGGTCTTTCTAGAAAAAATTTCCAAATGATGACTGTGTATCAGAAAAAAAGCATGTTACTTTACGGAACATTGAACAGGTATCAGTTATGAATTCTGTTGTTAAAGCAGTTTATTATTTGTCTTTTTTTGGCAAAATTATTTTTGCACCAAGAAGTTTAACTAACAGTTCTAGAATTATAAACTAGTTCTTCTGAATAAAGCATTGACAAGAAACTCCTTACATCGATAATGTCAATTTTATAATGTCAGCTTCTGTAGATTGAAGACGGAATCGTGGATGATGCGTTAAAATTCAATTCAGCTCCCAAAGTATATGCTTTTGCCAATTCGCCTGTTGGCTACACACTGAGGTAAATAATCAAATTAACATAATGAAGTGTTTATGTCCTTTCAGATAAGATTGTGAGAGTCAGTGATCAGTCTTGTAACATGGAAGTATATTTTCTCAGAACTCATGCGTCATTTTATTTTTTTATAGTCTTCAATTTACATACACTTAAACCAAGAGTTTCAAGTTATAGTTTTATTCAAATGAAGACAGTGTAATGAAATAGTGTTTCGGATATTAAGTCTTGTTTGGTATTACAATATTCATTTATGACAGTGTAGTTGGCTTAACCAGCAATAAATCGTGTCCTTGGTAAAGGTAATTGTGACAATAAAAATTATATTCTGTATCAAAAACATTTCGTCATAATGTAAGTAAAACTAAGTAATAACTAGTATAGAATCTATTTAGTTGCACGTAAAATTCATTTAAAAGATCTTGCACAAAGGTTTTTTTATAACTAAAGAATGGGACTGTCATTGGTACCATAGATTATTTGTCTCTGAAATAGAAATGTCTTTAGTTTTGGTTTGTTGTAAATTTTTGCTCTCAAGACACGATAATAGAAAGCTTGATTTTTAATTCTATCCTATGATGAAAATCGCATAGTGGTATTAATCATTATATAATATACTAGCTAGTTTTGTATGAAAATTAGATTGTATCTTAATTTATAAATATCAGAATAGGATTTAGAGTCATATCGAAATTTTTTACACAAATAATTTTTGACTCGGTTAAAAACAAGTAAATTGTTGGACTTAATAGTGAACGGTTTTAAATCAATAATAATTAAAGGATTAAGCAGAATATTGTGATTTAAAATTAAATCCAAGATTTTGATTTTTAGTTCTTGCTATTGATTTGATTTTGCTAACATTCATCTTTAGCATTTTCAAAATAACAACTTGACAGAACGATCTTAGTAACTGTGTAATGCTAGAGATTTCAGTTTGGCTCTTAAAATTTATCTGTTTTCAAAAGTTCTTTGTTTGAGTCATCTGTTGGATGTCAATGCGCCGCATGATTGTCTGCAGCAGTCAACACCTATAAGCTCAAGATTGGATGATTCTCTAGATGTAACTATTTATTGGGCTGATGGAAGAGGTTGTTTTTCATTTTAATCGTGTTGTCGGCGTCTTTTAATTTTTTTTCAAAAAACTATAACTACGATTTTCGCTTGCAAAACGATGTACAAAATGGTATTGTGATTCTTCAGAACCCGTTGTATGTGACTTTGGCTGTATGAAAAATGCGGTTTTTGTCGAAGGTGCACAAAATTTATAAATTCAAATTTTTGTTGCTGTTTTTGCTGTGGAAAGTAGAAAGTGCTAGTTCTAATTGTTCAGAAGCATGACCTCAAGTTCTCATTGTATGGTTTATAGCATAAAATTACATCATTTTTTTTACATGTATCGAAATCTTTATTTTGTGTGAATTCACTCTGATGAGTTTGTTGTTCGGAAATTTGGCATTCATAAATGTGCTATGTATCTTCAGAGGGCAGCTTTTCGCTTTTTATTATTTCATTTTGTGATTCTAATATTTGTTCATGTATTTTTTCACTGTTCATTCTACATTTATATCGATTGCTAGTGTATTAAATTGTCATTACAGGCTTCAAGTTCTCTTTACTTGGTGGTAAGTTAGCGACTGCATCAAGTTTGCTTTCTTTGCTCTCCGATCACTTAGGCATTGATGCTGATGTTCTCAAGCAAGTTTGTGCGTTGTGGATGGTATCCGATTTGTTAGGTAGATTTTAGTTCAGGAATAGATGTAATATTTTATTAGAATTTTTAAGTAAGCAGCACCATGAATTTGGAATTTCCTGCAGAAGTACAGCTCAAACCGCATCATAATCCGTATGAGATTCGGAAAAACTGGATACAGTTTCTCAAGAGATTCACTTGTGTTGAAAATGATGAAGCAGTTGCTGATGAACCGCTGCTTGTGCTCAAGCGAAACGTGCAGCTTTCTGTTCAACGAGAATGCGAAGTATGTGGATTAGTATATATATTAAACGCTTTCGTCACTGGACGATAAGGAATGATTTTATGAGTGAATTGAAATCATTTGGGGTATAGAACTGAAAAAAAGATAACTGCATTTATGCAATGATTTGTTCATATAAAGTTTTACGTGTATTAATCATAAAATTTGGTGCATGCATTAACTACAAAGAATCGATGCGTGATATTTTCAGCTGGAAGAAGATTATACTAACGAAATTTTGACAGAAATATTATACACCAGTGCAAAGCAAGAAGTTCTACGTGGACGATATTTATGTGATATTGAAATGAGCATTAAATTAGCAGCTTTGCAAATGGCTATCGAGTTGGAATCAACTGAAAATGGGAATATCATTGGGTATTACTCATATTCATCTCAGTTATTTTTCCTTCAAAAATTCTAGATTCTCAGATGCATGGAACAATTCAAGAGATTTTTAAGAAGTATTCATTGAATTGAAACTTTAGCTCGAGTTTTTTAATTCATATCACTAATTTTTAAAGTTTTCATTAATCACTCTATGAATATTGCTATTAAAAATGTGGCGGTGACATAATACTTTGTAGAGACGAGGTATGTATGTTTATACCGTTGAAATATCGACACAATGTTAAAACGTTTCATTTATTTGGAATACCAATTATCAGTTGCAAAGGTTTGGAAACGCGAATTCTTGAGGAATACCAACAGATAAAAAGAGGGTTTGAAAACAAACATGCTTATCGAAAAGCTTATCTCAGTATTATTCGAAATACACCCTTTTATGGGTAAGAATTACTTTTTAGTTTTTGGATTTTGTTTCATGAGTTTTTAAATTAAAAAAAATTAAGGCAAGTTAAAAATATATTAATTTCAATATTCGATCCTCCAAGAACCGTTTATTCTTTTAACTGTTGAATGCTTTCTTTTAAATGCATAATTTTCTTAATTTGCATTAATATGATTGGTTGATATGTGAAACACTGAGTAGATTGAGTGAAAAATTGCTATCAAGCAAGAAGTTTGCTTGCATTAAAAGCCGAAAACAATTTTATTGCTTGCTATTGTGTTTTAGGGCTGCTTTTTTCCATGGTTATATTGAGCGTCCATCAGTCGGATTATTAAAAGAAATCAAGAAAATGATATTGCCAGTTACTTTGCCTTTGGACAACCACGTATTTTTATTCTTTTATTCACTAATTTATTTTTAGCAGTTTATTTCTTTCTTCATGTAGGCAAGTTAGAAATATATTAATTTCAATATTCGATCTTCCAAGAACCATTTATTCTTTTAACTGTTGAATGCTTTTTTTTTTCAGATAATTGTTGGGATTAATTATGAATACATTACATTGATAGATGAGACAAAACAAGATGTTTTGCTTGTGGAAAAGATCATGGACTGTGAATGGTGTCATTTTGACGAGTATGTTTTAAAACTTTCATACTAACTACTAATATTTGCTCATTTTCAGCAATGATGCCATCTGGTTTGAAAAATCAATTCATTTGTTCATGAATTGCATTTTTAGTATTAAATGATTAATATTACAGTTCTTATTAATTCACTCCGGTATCTTTGACTTTAATAGTTTTAGTTCTGTAGTACTGAGTCAGTAATTATACCTTCGGGATATAGTTTCTGCTATTTCCTTGTATTTTATTGCGTAGGGTAATTTAAAAAAGTAGAAAGAATATTCTGTTTTAATTTTTTGAGTAACTAGGATAATAGCATAGTATATGCGATAGTCCGCTTTAAATGACTAGCGAGTTTTTGATTATTGTTTCAGTTCATTTGAAAATACGGCATCTACTACAGTTCTATCTGATTTCCCATACTTCCTTCTCGTTTTTCCGGACAATTCATTCGTAACTAATCGTAGTATGAATGTTGAAACAGATGTGTTAAAAATCCCAGAAAAAATTAAAATTCTTCAGGTCGGTCTTATAGACGCATGATTAGTAACCTTCTTTTTGGCAGGTTTGGAACTAATTTTAGTAGCATATTAGTAATATATATTTTTAGTAACATATTTAATGCTTTTTCTGTTTATGTTTCCGGATCCCACTTCAGGTTTTTAGTAAACAAGCAGTGATGATTGAAGCTCTTATGAATACAATGTCTAAGCTACTAGAACGAAACAATGATGATGACTTCTGTTTCAAGTCAGAATATGATGGACAGGCTGTAGAAGTAACAAACAACAAGTCGTCCTTTATAGCAGAGGCAGTGCCAAAGATGTGTAGTTCAACTTCAGAAGGCTCAAATGTGACTGAAATATTGGTATTTTGACTTTTGCATCTGTGAATTTCTGTAGTTTAGCACCGTGTTTGGAAACTATTTTGTCGCGAACTTTAAAAACGATTGGGGACCATTTCTTTGTTTTTTAGGGATTGCAAATCGCAACAGTTAAAACATGAAGGTAACCAAATAATTTTTCAAATGAATAATGGTGCATAAATATGATATTAGTGACTGATTCTTCCAGTTTTTCATATTCATTTGATAATTGTGCCCTAATTATCTTAATATGAAATTTATTCACTAAAAGATCTTCTCTCAAAATTCATATGCAAAGTGATGATTAAAATGCAATATCAATCATTTGATAAATATAAAATATGAGTGGAATGAATTATATTATTCATAAGTTGGCAACATTTACTTTTTTAATGCCATTGTCATTCAAGTCTTTTCAGGTAAATGACTGTGGCTTTCTGCAACATCATAGTGATGGTTTGAGAAGTATTCATAATGAAAATTTGAATTTACCAAATCTATCGGTTATAAATGGAGAAACGAGAAGAGCTAGTAATCGAAAGACAACTATTAAGTGCTCTTCATATCCGTTTGCGAAGAGCTTTGAGAAATTATGTTTAGCAACATTAGATGCAGATGGTCGTTGTCTTGAAGCACAAGGTTCACTGAAAGTTTTGTTAGAAGTTATGTAAAAACAAATTACTTGTTAATAAGTAAAACAATCTGGCCAGTTTTTGTATATGACAAACTTCCTTTCATTAACTGAACTCTCAATTTCGTGAATATTAAGCATACAAAAAGCTTTATTTAATTAAATGTTATGATTTCTGTTTGTATAAAGTTTTTTTATTGTGCGGTGGTACTTACGCGATTCTGAAGAGATTTTTTAGAAATAACGTGTTGTTACGCATAAGTATGTAACGAAGCAGTTTCCTAAAATCAATCCTGAAGCTCCTATTATTTTCTAAAAGGTATACGAAAAATGGTGTCTGATACTTGAATTCCTGTTGATATTTCCTTTTTACAGGTTGCAAAATTTTTCGAAAATCATGCAACCTGTAAAAAGCTGTAAAATAATGATTCTTAAGAAATGACAGGTTGCATGGATTTTGTTTGCTGCAGTGTAAAGTATTTGAGCCTTTATGCAGGAAAATTTATGCATAAAAGCTGTTTCGTTTTAGTATATGTTCCAGTTGAGTACTTTGTAATCTGTTTCTTTATGTTTGCGAATCGACATTTATAAGTTAATTTCATTTGATAAGATTAGTAAACTGAATGGGTTTACGTTTGTACTCTGTATGAGCATTAACAAGTTCTATTATTTAATAATTTGTGTCTTGTAAACAAGTTTTAAATGAATTAGCTAAGGCATTTCGAATGAATAAATGGTTTTTTAATCTGCAACTTCTGTGTTCTTAACACATGAAACTTTGATGCGATATAGAAACTGTTATTACCACAGTTGAAAGTAATTGCATTCAATTTGAGGATACAGTGTAAGCTTCAGAATTGAATATCTTAGTATTACGAGTGAAAAATTATGAGAACTCCGTACCACTCATTAAAATAAATGAAAATATGGAAATTTCATATTATGAAACTTTGGACTCAAGTATCATATTGTGATGAAGAACTAGAACTGTATTTGATAACGAAAGAAATTTCTGCAGTTGATGGTCTTGTACATATAAATTTGTTTGAAAATTTGAACTGATGCAAATTTATGAAAGGAAGATGATTTGTTCTTCTTGGATTTGATTAGTATTTGTTTCTAGTATGATAACTAGTAGAAGTAAGTTTTATCATTCATGTGACTTGGCGTGTCGTGTATGGTGCGTACAGTGGAACCATGCAGGTACAGTGCTGGCTAGCTGTGGTGAGGATAAGAATATCAAACTATGGACTAGGATTGATGGTTGGTTCAAGTACTTTGTTATTTTGTTTAGTTACATGAAATAGTATCAGTAAAATTTCAATTCCAAGAACTAGATATAAAATAGTCGACAGTTTGAGAACGTGTTTGCATGATTATTTTGAAATAGCAGAAATATTTGTAGTCTATTTTCTCAGTTTTGGCAATGTTATTTGCTCGCGATATTTTAAATTGATAGACTACCAAGATTCCTATCTGGCCATTGTTGAAACTTCCTAGTTATTCGATCATTGATGATTTTTTTTAAATCTCAGGTTGTTTTTTTAATTGTGACTAAAATTCAGTTGCACCGTATTTGAAATACTCTGGAACTATTGGAGGATCACATAGCAGGACTATAAGATATATTACGTTTTCACCTAGTGATAAATTTATGGCTTCAGCAAGCTTTGACTCCACGATTGTTGTTTATCAGTTATACAAGTATTTCTTCACAATATGCCAATTTTTAGCATGAAATAGTGCTTTTTTTCTTAATTTCTACAACATGCCTTTTTTCTATTCTTTGTAGTAAAAATATTTTTTTAAAATTTGCATTATGAAAATCATTTTTTTAATCACTCATAATGCCTGAAAATTTGGAATTTTATATGGCTCAGTGTTAAGGTTCCAGTTTTAGTAGTGATTACGAAGAGATTAGCCGTTTAGAAGGGCATGAAAGTGAAGTCAAATGTTGTGCATTTTCGCCTTCGGGTGATTATCTGGCTACTTGCAGTCGTGATAAAACGGTTTGGTTCTGGCAATGTAAGCTTAACTAGATATTTGAATTATTAAGATTTTTGCTTATCATCCGTGGAGTTTAAATTTTCAGTAGATGATGAAAAAGACTTCGAGGTTGGATCGATTTTACAGTCACATACACAAGACGTCAAATTTGTAGTGTGGCATCCAGTTCATGATGTATTTATAAAGTTCATTTTTTCAAATTTTTTCTAAATTACTTGCATAACTTGCAGAATTTTGTATTTGAATTTTTTTGTCATTACACTTTTGGCCATTTTCAGTTTAAAACTGGTTGACTTTAAAGTTTTGAATCAAAAGTTGATTAGTTTAACAAACTTGTGATATGCCAATCTGACAATTCAAAGTTTTTGTTGTCTACATCAATATATTGTATTTCAGTTATTAGTATCGTGCAGTTACGATTGTTCTATACGATTCTATCGCTTTGATGGTGAAGATTGGATAACAAATCAGAAAATTGATAATGCACATGAGTCAACTGTATGGGCTGCTGATTTTTCGCATGATGGCAGTTATCTTGTAACTGTTGGAGCAGATTCCATTATCAACGTAGCTGTTCTATATAATTTACTTTGAATATTAGTCCAATTATAAATTGAGTAATATTATCTTAGAAGGCTTCGTAAGTTTTTGCAATCTCGTAAATCTCAACTCTTCTTTTACGTTGTTTTCCATATCTATGGTTGAACTGTACGAAATTATTCGATTGTTCATTAATTTATTAATTTTATTCGATTCCAATCACTAATAAAAGTATAGGAAGTGTTGATATTAATTTTTTTTCTAAATTTCAGCTTGCAAAACTTGATTTTAAAGTGTCTATAATTCATTATTTGAATATCAACGAAATAACGAATGTTGTACAAGAATAATCAGTTGATTGAAAATTTTTCAGATCTGGAAGCAGCATGAAATAAATAATTCATTAGTGTCACAAGGCAAATGGATCAAAGTGATAAGTATGTCAGTGGAATCCAAATGGCCTTTGTACACAGTATCATGGAGCAAGATACATGGTATAATTGCGGTCGGTGGTGGAGATAGAAAACTTAGGTCTTTTTACAAGCAACTTTTTTCGGTTAAAATGTGAAAAGGGTTTTCCTTCATTATTTTAATTTTGCTCGTTCATACTTTCTGGGTCATTTCATATAATAATTGGTTTAGTTTAGATCTTATGGAAAGTAAATTTGATGGTATTAATATCATTAAGAGCGTAAAAACATGTCAAAAATTGTTTGATTGCAACGTTCATGGTCTGTGATCTCTGTTAAAGGTCCACTCACCATTTTTAATTCTAGGTTGTATCGCTTAGACACTTCGGCGGGCAATGCATTTTTAGAAGAATATTTTATCGATTGTAGTCTTGACTCTGAAATTAATTCATTGATATGGAATCCAGCTGATGGTAATTTACTAGCGGGAGCTACTGATGATGGCGAAATTCACTTGTTTCACATAAGTTTATGAAGTAAAAATCGTCTTATGTATAAGTAAACATTGTATTTTATTAACATCAAATTTTTGTGCTTCCAAGAAAATCACGTATAAAAAGTGTTACTTATTATATACTTCAGGTGCTTACAATCGGTTTATATTGCATTTCCTTAAAATTTTCAAATCTTCAAAAATAAACTTAGTATAATAACGCTTGAAGTGGTATTTTATTATGTACGTAATAAAGAAGTACGATATTGTTTCGAAAAATTCATCTTGTTATTCAGTATATGATTGAAATTAGTAATATTTTGATCCTGATGTAGCTGAGAATAAGATATTGGCTTTTTTCTATGTACTTCACTCAAAAGCTCCTTTTTTTTGTTACGTATTTGACATTACGTATCATATTTTTCTTCTATTAGTAAAAAAATTCTCCTAAAAATTGTAAACCAAATCTTTTGACTTTTTGAATGTTGCTATTTTGGTCTACTAATTGATTACGTCTTGCATTTTTAGTAGTTGTTGAAGTTTTTAACTGTTTTATTAGGTTTACTTGCTATTCTTAGTGAAGATTTTTAAATATAGTATTTTTTACGATGTTGCAGGTGAAAGCTGAAAGCAATGTAGTTAGATTTTATGGCTGCTTGAATAGAATATTCTTCATCTGATTTATTTTTTTAATAATCTTCGAATTTCTCTTTGTCCATAATTTTGTCTTTTTCATCCTGATAAATATTTTGTTAGCACTCGTCTATTGTGCGTTGTAACTCTTCAGATTCACAATGCTAAAGTATATATCTATATATACATATAAAATAATGTTAGGAAAATGCATGTAACAAATTTTAGCAGAATCTTGTTATTCTGTTTTTGATGTTTTTCTTTTATTTTTTATAAGTAGTGGTACACCACTTTCATTCTTTCTCTGTTTTTTTAATTGTGTGCTTTCAAATTATCAAGTTATTAGATTTCTCAAACTTACCAATGTAATGTGTTTTTGGGTTATTTTAATATATAAGTAATAGAAATTTCGTAACATTATTTCAGATATGGTTTTTGGATCCGATGAAGTGGATCCAACAAGTGATGCCAAAGCATGGGAAGAACCCTTGAATCTGAAAGTTGTGCTAATGTCTGATGACACCGTCCTTATTGCGCAGTTGACAGATGTGCTGCCAGTAAGTTGTATGATAAAGATTCACTGGACAGTATTCAATTTGTGCAAGAGTAATTAACGGTAACTATATTATTTTAGCGTGTAAGTTTTGAAAGTAAATACTATGTAAATTGTAGTTCAACGGAGGTGGAGGTCATTTTTTCTTCTTTTTTTGAATAATTTATTGATATAAGTCACGTAAAATCAACAGTCTTATTCTCTGAAATATGAGAAAACACTGCAGAAACTTGGAAATGTGATACCGAATGAGCACTTTATCAAAGTTGGACTTGATGTTGTGGAACATAAAATTGGAATACACGATTATGGCAGTCCATGGGTTGAACTTCATATTGATGTAAGCACCTTATCTCACAATTTTGTTGCTTCTTTGTCGGTTTTTTGCTGCGCATTTTTAATTCGTTCATTTTGGTTCCTTCTTTTTGCTGTTTGTCATGGTGAATTACAGTAATTCACAGCTTAATAACATAATTACCTCTAATGAACTTTTTTTTCAAGAGGTTTTTTTCCATCAAACTTGTCAAGTTTTGTTTTCTCGTTAGTGGTATTATTTATACTATTTAGCTCAGTGATTGTATTAAAAGTTAATGCCTTATTTATTTAATGTATAGTATTTTTTAGGTAATGTCTCCTTCATGGAATCAGTCATTTCTAAAAATGGTTTCTACCTTTCAAGTTCTAACTAAGGGTTTCACTGGAAAAGATACGCCTGTATTGGAAGCCTCAGAACGTGGCTTCTTTATCAAAGATTGCATGTTTGTAATCTAATTTTTTATTTTATTTTTTTCGTTTTTCTCATGTAAACCGAAAAATTGAAGTAGATCGAGATGTAATAAGGAAATATGCTACTTCAAGAATTTGTGCTGTCCCTTTCACAGTTTTTTCTCATTCCACTTTCATTTTACTTTTCCAGATATTTTCATATTTTCTTATTGAGAATTACTGAACTCTAAAACATGTGATATATGCAAACCGGTATCCTTCCAAAGAAACACTTTTTAATTTGGATTCATTTTTGGGCTATTTTCAATGTTTGTTGGCGTTAGAAACTGTGATTTTTATCATATTTTAAAAAGTGCCAATTTAAGATTTTTCAGACCAGTACATTTGAACATTGACCTTCATTCTGTTCATCATGGTAATTTGTTTGATCAGGGAACTTTTTATTCACATCACACTCGAGAAATATCCGAATCTGTTAAGGACGAGGAATTGGCTGATTATATTAAAGTGTTGTCAGTGTTATTGACCTATGATGTTTGTAGCCCAATGTATGTTGATTTTGAGCACGATAGAAGTTACTTCACTGTACGATTTGCTGTCTTAGACGGTTTGTTTGTTTTTTGTTTTTCCCCATATCACATAAACAGAGTTTCGAGAATATGATGGATGAAATAAATGGAAGAATTAATGAAATTAAATTTTATCAAAAGCATTTGAAGCCATGATTTTGACGATTTTTGACCAAGAATTGTTTAAGTTGATGATGGCTTCAAAAATAATTGGTCATTAGGTTTCCGAACGTGAAAAATTATGTTATATAAACACTGCAAAGTATGTGAGAAGAATTTGCAGTGTTAGTGTTATGGAATTTTTCGTTTAAAAGTTTATTTCGTGGAATCAAAATATTCTCAAATTTTAGTTTTTGGCTTTTTGGGGTAATCTTTTCTTTATGTTATCTTCTTTTTTGTTAAAATTCGTGAAAATACTTGTCAGTATCATGATAAAAATTTAGGTAAGATTGTTTGTTTTTGTTTTCTAAAGCTATCATTTTTAAAGAGTTTCTTAAGATTTGTGATCATTTTCATTTAACAATTATTCAGGATACAAACTTCGAGAAAATTCTGTACCAAAGGATGCTACTATTATCGAAGGATCGATGTTTTGTCTAAAAGTGATTTGAAAACTTATAATTAGTGATTAGGTTGTCATATCTATGGTACATAACTGAAGTTTGCTGACAAAAAATACTTTTTCATTTTTTGAAGTCTAAATTTTCAGAATTACATTCAGTTGAGTTCTTTTATAATTTTAAAAATTTAAAACAGCAGTCAAAAGATTAACAAGCAGTAGAATAATGATGGTTCTTCAAAATATCGCACTAGAGAAATGTTTTGACAAATATATTCATTCTTCTTGGATAGTTCAAGAACTTGAAGTAACTTATAAGTTTTTGAAATGTTTTAAAAACACTCAATTTTTTATGTGTGCTTCTTTTGTTACACATGTTCACGCTTAGTTTTCTGAGCTGCTGTTAGGTTTTTGTAATAACTTATAGAGCAAGTAAGTAATATTAGTAATAATTCGTTGTTAAAAGCATAATACAACTTTTATTAACATTTTTTTAGATTCGTTATACCTCTTTACGCCGTATTTTGGTCGATACAAAAGTTCCTTGGGCAAGGATCTATGTTACACGCATTTACTTTCAGTTAAATTATCCTCCTGAGATACGCAGATTTCGCCAGAAACTTGCACAGCGGGGGTCATTGGAGTCGTTAGGGGAACGTTTTAGGTGAATAGATTTTCAAATTTTACCGAATTCCACATATTATTCAAAAACATATTTCGAATGCTTGCGAACTTCAAAAACAATTTGACTTGGATTAAAGATAGAAACATTGCAGGTATTATCCAGAAACTGATCACGATACAAAAGATAAAAGCTACTCTATAATGGCTATAAACGATAGTCCCGTACTTTGTCTGCAGTTTACTGATTCAATGAATGTGAGGATATGATTAGTTTCTAAATTCATTAAAATCTTATTTGTAAGTGCTCATCACTTTCAAGTTTTTTAAATTGCGAATTTAAAAATTTTTGGAATATTTTTCAGGAAGAGACACTATACACTCTTCTCAGTCGGTTACATGTTCGCGCCTCATTACCAATTCAGTTTGCTAGTGTCCAGCACTATTATTTCTCTGTGTTAAAGTAAGCAGGACTGACTTTTTTAAAAATAATTATTGAATTGTGTCAGGTCAAAGTAAAATGCAAAAAGGGATTGCCAGTTCAATTTGCCAGTGTCCAGTAATTTACATAAAAGAAAAAGAATGGTAACCTTAATGTCCTTGCATAAGCTTCAGTTAGCTGTACTTCATATTATATACTACCATACTTTACACTTATTGAAAAATGTCAAACATTTTTTTGCATAATTTATTCGATATGAAGTTATTTATGCTTTTAATTAAAAAATATCTATTCTGATCTATGTTAACATTATCTCATTACTTATTGAAGATTAATAATTTAGTTACGTCTCATTACCGGTACGGGTCATTGGCTGTGATTATCGGAAATCGGTCACTGAAGAAAAACTCTTACAAAACCCTCAATCATATAAACCTGTAGAACCGGTAGTTGATAAGTATTGGTCTTCAAAACTTAAATCATTTTCATTTGCACTGGAATATTTGATTGCAGCTTTGCTGTCGAGAGGTGCTGTTGTGAAGGATCAGTTGTTGGTATATTTTTTTCCCTTGTTTTTTGCTTGATTTGGTATCCTGTCTTCGTCATCTAAAATAAGTAATTTTTGATTGTTTTAAAGTTGTGGGAATTTTCATATATCTGGAAGAATTATTATTATGGATATCTTTGTAATTTTAATAAACTTTTTCGATTTTTGATATTTAAACGATGATGCAAATATGGTTATTGATATTACTCATGAAATTTTGTTCATTCACTCCTTCTAGAGAAGTATTGAAGCAAGGAACTGTTTCTTGGAACATGTGATAGAAAACTATGAGCAAGATTTTGCGGTATCGTTTCTTTCTATTTTGTCGAAACCACATTTGTATAACTACTAAGTCATTCTGTTTCCTTTTTCATTATCCATTTCAAAGCACGAAGATTTGGAAACAGTATATATTGAAGGTTACACTTGAAGTGTTGGAACGTTTAATCAATATGGTGGATGAAATGAAAACTATACCACCACTTATGATAGCATTTGATCATATACGAAATAGTATTTTTGATAAAAAAGACCTCCTTGCCGATATTTATAACAGAAGTTATGAGGAAGGTTTTCAGCGTGTTCGCAAGGTTTTAAATTTTCAGCGTTGTTCGCATGATTTCGAAAAAATTTACATACATCTGTATATTAGAGAATACGCAGATGTTATGTTTTTTAGAATTTATATATTTTAATTTGAAATTTATGTATATCTTTTATATAAGTACTAGATGATCAATAAGTTATATTTTTTAAATTATGCATAACATTAGGTGATTTTGAAATAATACGAGAATGCGTTGACTTTCGAACAATAGTCAATTAAAAATGGGATAATATTCACGTAATAGTTAGTTATGTTCAGGCTGTTATAACCCCAACTCGTATGTTGCTTGTTATCCCGGAATTGTTAATGGGAAATCGTGTATTGCGCGAGTTCGATGAAAGTGGTAATGGAGCTTTACGAATTCAATTCCGTGATGATGATGGAACACGGTTGAGGCGAAGCAGTGCTGGAATATATTTAATTGAGACAACAGTTCATAATTGTCTTTTGCATGGCATTCATATATCAGGTCAAAGCTACCGTTGAATATTAAATGATGTTTTTTTCAGGATCATCCATCTGAGCTTCTCTGAAAAAAAAATGTCCTCAGAGATCAGTTTTTTTTTTTCTGCAAATTGCATTAAATATACTATGCAGTCGTTGTTTTTAAATTTTCATTTGATATCAATAAAAACCTTCAGCATGAAGTGTTCTTATTTTCTTGTGCGCTCTTTCTGTAAACTCTTATGACTTAAAATGAAGTTCAAAGGTTCAATTAAAGATGTATATATTTGTCATATCTATTTTATAATAATTATTGCTCTCTCATAAAAGAATTTCATTTGATATATCTGCAAAGTTTGCAAATTGGTGAACAATATATTCAACATATCATGCAAATGATTTTTTAGATCGCCATTTTGTTTATTTGGCTTCCTCAAATTCTCAGATGCGTGATAACGGATGTTATTTCTTTGATGATGGTAAAGGCGGTAAAGTGGGAATTATTCGTGAAAAGCTCGGGAAATTTGATCATACCAATATTCCGAAACTGATGTCACGAATGGGGCAATGCTTCACGCAGTCAAAGGTCTGGTTATTGTATTGACTAGGCTGTAACTATTTCGGAAAAACTTTCTATTGAGCTTTAGATTTCATATTTCAGGAAAGTGACGTCACTTTGAGGCGTAAAAAATATAATAAAACGTATGATATAGTCGGTGGTAGAGATTCTCAAGATGAGCCTTATATTTTTTCTGATGGGGTTGGAAAACTATCGGAAGATTTTGCGGAAGAAATCGCGAAGGATTTAGGCTTAGGAAGATGTGTTCCTAGTTGTTTTCAGGTATCAATAAAAGTTTAATGCTTACTTGGTTTGTTATTGTTGTGATTAAATCATATTAAAGTACGAAGCTTTCTAAATATCCTTATTTCTGATTCAGTCTTCTTCGCATTTTATACTGATGCATCCCATTTAAAATTTTAAAGATGACATTGCTTAATGCTTCTTTATTAAGATTAGACATCGAGGTTTAAAAGGCGTATTATCCGTTGATCCAGCATTGCGACAACGTAGGATATGGGCTGAAAAACATGAGTTAATAGATGATAACAGTAAAACAGAGAAAGTGAACGATTTAGATGTGGTATTTAGACCATCTCAAGTATAATAAAGTTCTTTACTATTGTTTTATTCTGCTTCATTCATAGCTCCAGAAGTGTATTACACTTATTTTTGAATCACTTTTAATTAATCCTTATTGATGTATTAATTTTATTTAACTGAGTAGCAATACCTCTTATTTGTTAGTTTAATTCTGTCACTGTTTAAAATTGATGTTTCTATTAAATTGTATATATAATTTCGAAAACTGCTTTTATTTTCAGGATAAGTTTCATGCACCGAGAAAAGTAGCCGTAGAAATTGTTAAATTTTCCAGTCCAACGCCAGTTTGCTTGAATAGGCCGTTTATTAATATTCTTGACCAGGTGAATTTTTTAGTTATAGTTTTAAAAAATCGTACTCTATTTGTTTATCGTATCAAATATTAAAAGATTGCTATCACTAGTTCTTGCAAGTTATTTCCTTTGATTCTGATTTAGGTGAGTGAAATGCAAGGATTTGATGTTCATAATCGTATAATTCAGCGTGTGCATGACTTACTTGATCGTCAGCTGATGTATCTCTCCGATGCAATGATGAGTGAAGACAGGTAACTTTTTTGAGTTTATTATTCATTTTATATTCGTCTGTGACAAATTTTAATGACTTGAGAATTTATGTGAATAAAAAAACTTTCTTTCATACAGATGTCGTGAAAGATTGGGCGAATTCCCGCGGCGTGTAAATGTTAAATACTTGTCAGTTGCACGAGGTTTTTGCCTCACACAAGAGCCATTTTTTCACAGCTTATTGATCGCAAGTTTTCATTTCACTTTACGTAAGATTTGTTTATAATAATTTTTGTATTTAATCACTTGCTGACTTTAAAACTGTACTAAACTTTAAATGAATAAATTGTTGCTAATTAATTCATTTCGTTTTTTTATTTTTTATTCGTTTGTGTTTGAAGGAGTTGGTTATTTTGTAGGTAAACATAAGGAAGAGACTGCATCTGTGTACAAAAAGTTTAGGTAGTAATTCAGAAATTGTCATTCTGAAATATTTCAAGAATTGCGTTGGAAAATGCTATGACAATTTGAAATTTTTAGAAAAACAGTTATTCAAGGAACAAATTCAAATACCTCCTAAACTTGGCCGTAGTATGTTTGGTATCTTGGATGAAACTGGATTACTACAGTATGGACAAATATTTGTGCAGTTTACGAATAACGTTGCCATTAAAACACCATCAAAAGCAGCAGCTAAAACAATACTTGAAGGTAGTTGTTTCCATTTCCATTAATATGATTATTGGATGTTCGTTATGGACTTCTTTTGTGATTTTATACTCATTTATTATGATTGTTTAAGTTTTGAACGACATTATGATATTTCTCTATAATTAGTTTCAGCTTCATGTTGAAGGTAAGTTTCTATGCTTCACTGTTGATAAGTATTTATTATGTTTCAATAGGTCCGGTAATGGTGACCAAAAATCCATCAATTGTTGCTGGAGATGTCAGAATTTTCCAAGCTATTGACATACCTGAATTGCGCCACTTAGTCGATGTAATCGTTTTTCCTCAACATGGTCCACGACCACATACGGATGAAATGGCTGGTTAATTATTCATGACATTTGCTGTTTGTTTTGAATTGATTCAATTGTATCTGCTTATTTTTGAAATGTTTCAGATTCCCAAGTACGAATGCATTTTTGAAAGTTCACATGTTTTTCATAATTTTTTAAATTTTAAACGAATTTTATGTTGATTGAACTTTTTTTTAGCGAAAAAACTTGAGCTGTTCTTGTTTGTATGTTTTCTTTTCAAGTATTTGTTGATTGTAACAGTGTATTAAATTTATTAGGATCTGACTTGGATGGTGACGAATATAGTGTTATATGGGATGATCAGCTTTTATTTCATCATAATGAAGAACCGATGGACTTCAGCAAACTCATTCGTGCTCCAAATGAGCTGAAGGAAGAGGAAGTTGTTAGTTTTTTTTGGCATTCAGTTAATATTTATCGCAACTGTTTCATTGAATATTGGTAGATTTCTCGCAAGTAAAATAAGTTATGTTTGAAACTTTTTTCTAACCTTGTACATGTATTAAATTTTTATTTAAAGACAATTTCTTGTATCAAATTTTTACTTTTATTACCTTTGATATATAAGCATGTTGTAAATATCTCACAATAAAAGCTCAAAATCATATCACGTTTACACAAGTTTTCTACTGTTAGAAAGTTTGATAATTGGAAGTTTTAAATTTTTGCTATAAATAGTAATTTTTATTTGAAATATATCACATATTATATATTTGAAAACTGTCACTCTTTGTACTTTTATATAATGCATAATGTGACATTTTCACTTGCTGATTAAATTTCCCGTTTCAATCCATTCTTATACTGTATCTGTAGATAAAAACCTAATTACTTCGTTATCATGCACGATATATCTGTCTAGCATATATGGGAAAATGTGTTGAATTATTATCAAAATTTGCAACAATCTCATACGCTATCAGAAATTTCAACCTCGAACCCTGCTGAAGTCGCCAGTTATTGTAACTGGATACTCAGGTAGAATACAATGATATACATTTTTCCACATGTGCTATTCTAAGAAGATCGTTCATGACTGCAAGAAATTTAGGTTACATCCACAGAGGTAGCATAAGAAAAGTATTTGTTTAAATTTGATAAACAAAAATATTTAATATTGAACAATTTCTCTGATATTAGAAGTCTGAAAACGGAAATATTTTTGTGCATCTTAAAATGATTTAAAGTTGCAATTCTATCCCTGTACTCTAGGGTCTAAACTTAAGGAAATTGAGTATGTTGTAAAATTGATGTGATGCTGTATACTATAAATTTATGACGATAGTATTTTTGTCGTCAGAGAATAATTTCTTCTTTTTTCTAACGTGAAAGCAGTTGAATAAAAAGACGTTGAAATATTTTACAAAGAACTTTACAGCATCTTTTTCATTTTCCCTATTTTAGGTTCGTGAAATGCGGCGTTTTTACGTTGAATATATCAAGCAGGATTCAATCGGTGTTATAGCTAATGCTTTCTTAGTTAATTCTGATGTGTACGGTATTAACAGTCCTGTATGGTTTTTTTTACTATTGAATTATTTATATAACGACAAAGGTTTGCTCAAATAGTGCTGTCTTCTTGTATTTTTTATTAGGTTAATTAACTATAATGTGAGTTCAAATTTTGTTGTGATCGGTTTATATTTACTATTGACAGTAAAGATTGATAAGATTATCATACTTCAGATATGTTTGAAGATAGCTGAAAAACATTCGCAATCCGTAGATTTTCCAAAAACAGGACGACCGCCTGAACCACTTGTTAGAGAGTGGACGTTAGGAACAGATGGTGAAATGTTGCCACCTGAACGCCCGGAAAGATGGCCTGATTTTATGTGTAAAACTCATGAACCTTCTTATGTTTCATATCGCTTAGTTGGACAGTTATATAGGTACTTTATTTATTTGCTTCCCAAAAAATTGCCGAGGATACATATGGTTAAATATGTTTCCACTGAAATATTTTTTACTCCTTTTTGTAATATCTCTGTCCATGATATTGAAACTGGACGTATATACCTTTTTCACTATGTTAAATTGTTTATCAACACTTATCTTACTTATCATTTTAAGTCTTTTTATTTTTTGTTTCAGGCGTATTCAATTAATTCATGATGTTCTAACATTAAGTACTGGCGAGAGTTTAGATGTGGATTTGGATCCAATGCTAGAATATGAAGGTTGGGAGAGCTTTGAAGAAGAGGCGAAATTGACTTGGGATGCATACTCTGCACACGTCAAAGTACTATAACCAATTGTTTTTTAAGTTGACATTTTCAATCCTTTGATAATAAATTTTTCTAAAACTATTAAAAACTATTATTTATAATGTTCAATAGCTATTTTCCTCTATATTTTGTAAATAAAATTATTTTGCAGGCTCTAATGGAAAATTATGGAATTGAAGACGAAGGTCAATTATTTTCGGGTTGTTTTATCAAAATACGTAATCGAATCGGTGATCGTGACACTGATGATATGTCTCAGTTTAATACGAATTTCATTATTGAACGAAAGCTCACAAACATATTCATGAGGTGAAGTTATTGGCGTCAGGAGAATCTTATATGCTGTTGAATTTCCTGTGGGGATTCTATTTTCTAATTTCAGTTTACACAGCTTAGTTTATCGTTTATTGATTGCTTTAATAGTACTGTGTGGCCATAGTTTCCAGGCGCTTTCTAGTCCTTAAGAAGTTACATATAGCATCATGAAGATCGCTGCGTATAATCTATTTTTAGTTTCCGTCAAAATTTTTTTGCTTCATTTGGTGGCTTTATGGAGTGTACTCAACCAGATGATGACTTTCATAATAGGGAAATGATTGAACGAAGATTTTGTGCCTGTCCAACTGTGGAAATGAAAAAGAAAGCATCTGCCTATTACAACATTTGCTATCGTTAGTCACAATATAATTTTTTCGACAAAAAAAAATTACATCATTTGCTGCCTTTAGTCACAATATATTTTATTTGGCAAAAAAAAATAATGGATACCAACTTGATGTTGAATGTAATTACTTATGAGGTTTCTTCCCAGAATTGGGAACTCATAGACTTCACACTAGAAATTACTTGATACACAAAGTCCTTACATATTTTGAATACAAAGTGATGGGGACACATTTCTGTGGTTATCTTCTTTTTCTTTATTGACAAGAACGCTGAGTTTCATATTGGAAAAATATGAATAAATTGTCCACATTTTTTGAGCAATTCTGAAAAGTTTAATCAAAGGGTTTCAGGTAAGAGTAACCAATATAGATGTCGAAGATTACTTTCTTTTCCGTGGGTTGCGTGGGATATCTTGGGCGAGATAAAAAAAGAAAATTGTGTGCTCAAATCACAAAAATTCCTTGCAGCTGACCCTCTTTCTGAACATGTGACAAACGTAAGAGTTTTCATAATCTCGTATCTCGGTAATCGGGATTCCAATTTCATTTGATTGTAGAAAGCAGAAATTTCAAATAAAAATATCTTTTAGTTTGATGCTCATGATGGAATCATAAGGATATCTGTTCTCTTCTCACCTGCTATGCCTTCGTTTTGTACTAATTTTTTTCAGTGCTATTGCTGTAAATACTTTTCAGGTGATAACACGTTTTTGCAGAAATAATGAAGTGGATTTCTATCAAACTATGGAATGCTTAAAAAAAAGCACAGCTAAATGTGGAGTTATCAAACGATATTGCGACAAATATTTAGGTATTGGGGATTTTTGAGTGTCCATGACTAAATGCGAATATTTTCTTATAGTTACACTTTTTTCAAAACTGTCTTCATATTCATTTGAAACGAATGTGTTGACGATGAAGCCAATAATCACGGTGCATAAAATCTTTTAGGTTTGGATAAGTTATTTTACTTGTTATGCAAATGGGGCGAACACCAACATTTATTTACAAAATGTGTGAAGCAAGAGCATTTATGTTTGTTGCTGATACAATATGGTTTGGGCCATTTAAAGGGTGAAAACCTTCGAAGCAATATTTTTCTTGAACAGGTCATTTGCATATGTTAGACAGTGAAACCCCACTTTTGCTTGGAACTGGCAGTGGTTATTTTTGAGCAACATAACTTTAGGATTTTAAAATATGAAGATTTTTGTCCGAAAAAGAATGTGGCTTTACTCTATGGTAAATTTAATAATTGCACATTGCACATTAAGTTTGCCTTTAATTTTAGAGTCAGTTTTATTCTTTTCTTCAGGTTAATGAAATTACTACTGAAAATCCTGATGACGCTCGAGATTTAGGTAAACTAGTAGGTGGTATTGGAAGATGTTTACTATTATTTTTTCAATACTTAAGTTCGCGATCATTTGAAACAGTTAAACTTATCAATTTTGCGGAACCAAATCTGGGATATCATTCACTAATGATGCGTGGTCAATGGCTTGATTTGCATATGGTAATATATAAATCTAAAACTGCTTGCTTTTCCTTTCATTTCCAAACATTTAAAAACTGCTGAATTATAATAAATCAAATATAACGAAGGGAAAATGTTCCCAGAATCTTATGACATCTAGAATTTATGTTTATTGTGCTTAAACTTTGCAATACCTATTTCCTGGGCCTGTATTTCTAGGCGGCTGTTAGGACTTTTTATCGTATAGTGCTCACCAGTCGTTTCGATATCCGATCATTATATAAAAGCACACAATTATCGCCAAATAATGTCTGTAAATTTCTTATAATTCATTCTATTGTTATCAATGATGGTGGCAGCAAGTGAAGGAGATTAGCTGTTGCTGATTGTTACTCTTCTCCTTTTTAACCATTTTTTGAAATCTTTTGTATTCTGGAGAAACTGAGTTAGAAAAAAAAACCTTCAGAATATTACGACATATACAGTTTATGTTTGTAGTGCTTGGAATTTATAACACTCAATTCAGTTCAATTTGTTTGAAGGACCGAAGTTAATTTTTAATTTGTTCAAATTTCAGCTGCCAGCTTTATTAGAGACCGAACCATTTACAGTTGAGTTACCGGATAATTTGACTTTTCATGATGACATTTTGAAAGATAAGCTGAGAAGAAATTCAGGCGTACGATATATACATTTGCGAAGGGTTATACAGAAGAAAAGTAAGTGAAGGGATTCAGGTCGAAATTGTCCCTTCAGTGCATGTGCTTTCTGTACTATATCTGACATTTGATAAAGTTTGAATTTTCTTAGTTTTAAATACTTTTCTTTGTATAAAGCATGTGGAAAAGCAGTGAAGTGCTTGAAGAATCTATATATTTAAGGAGTGCCTGCACACTCATTACTGATAATTGCAGTATTGTGACAAAATTTGTCTTAGCAGAAACATACTGAAATTGGGGTTGTTTGTGTATGCAATGATCTCTTGACAGCATTTCTGCAGAGAAAAAGAGAAGTTAACGTTTTCTGACTAAAATCTTTTAGGTAGAATTTTGATTTCCGCTTTTGGTACTATGGAATCACTACATCGATTGCGAGATATTCTTGCAGTAAAGCCTTTATCAACTCCTCATTCTGATAGCAAAGAACGTTTCGATATTATGCTACGGCTTACTTATGACCGAATTCAAGCTTTACCTTAGCTTTGCTGTTAGTAAACTTAATTTTAAGTACAATTTGAATTTTAGTCGTCAGAAGCTTAGTATGAAAAGAATATTTACTGTTTCAGTGTGCTGTATGTATTAATTGTATTTCATTGTCACTGTATGTAATCATTGTCATTGTAACCTTTGTAATTCCTTGCTCGACAAGATATTCTTCACTACCATGCCATGTTCTCAATTGTTAGCAATATGTTAGTAGTGTTGTCTAATGTTAAATGTGACTGTAGAAGTAGTCTAATGTCTTCAAAAAAAAAATTGAAGTGCGGGGTAGTCGGTAAAGATATTTATAATGATCTGTTCTGGAATGGACGTAATGATCTATTTATGAATGATTGACATTTATTCAGTTTAACATTGATAGAATTTTTACGATTGAATTGTGTACTTATTCGTCTCTGTTACTGTTTTTATTTTGAAAAGCAAGCAGTGATTCATGTATGCCTTTGAAAAGTGAACATAAACAAATTGTACTGACAGAACTTTCTAAAAAACAATGCTAACGGCATGAGAAAAAGTTGACTTACTTGTTTGCATCTACCTTAAAGCGGGCTTTAACAATTCGATCACGACCTTCGTCGTTTGAACTTTGAACTTTGAACTTGAGGACGGAAGTAATATTTAACTCATCTACTACTTAGTAGTCTAGAAAACTGGAACACTCGTACTTCAAAGTGAAACGCAATTTAGTTGAAGGAAAGGGAAATCAGGAAGTGGTGCACGATGAGATGAGAGATGGTTTATGCAAATAATACTACTCTACTTGCTTTCAAAACCAGCAGGAAGGGTCTGTCTGTCAATAAAACTTTACACTTGATTCTGGGACCTAAGAGTCTATCTCATTAATCGAGTTATATCTCAAAAATCAAAAAAGAATTGAGCTTTTGTAATGAACGCAGGTGGTAGAGAAAGAGTGGGACCTCCCAATGTCTGAAAGAATTGTCAATTTTTGTAGAAATGGAATCAAGAAGACTCTTGCTTGACACAGTGAACCCTGACCCTTGTACATAGGAATGATTAAAAATTGTATGACCAGTGAATAAGTGGCTGTTATTTTTGATTTTGATGTATGTTATCATAAGAGGAATAAATAAATTTGATTTTTTTTTTGAAATTATAAAAATTTGCTGACGGAATTATTTTTGCAAATGCATATCGATAATGCTATTTAATTGCAATTAGTGTTTTCAGTCATAAAAGGAGAAAGTATTCACGAATATATAGCAAAACAAATTAATTATTAGGTAGGAAATCATCATAGCAGAAGTTTAGATTGTGTGAGTTATTTGTATGGAATTAATAGCTTAACTTGTGGACGTTATTGAGAATACACTTAATAAAAAACACGCACAATGGGACGTGTACTAAGTGCTAGTCATTAAATTTATTAGTACCCTTATTCGAGAATGTTTGAATCGTAGTGATCAATTCTTGATATTTATTGACGTAGAAGATAGAGTAGATTTTTTTATGCCAAGTTCAGTAGTTTTTATTATGCAGTCATATTTTTTATAAAAGTCGAAAATTGTTAATGAATTTGAGAATTTTTACGTTTTCAGAAACTTTTGATCTCAGTGATCAACAGCAGACGTTTCTTGACGTAAATCATTACATAAATTTTTGTATGACAAGTTTTTTATTAAAAAATGATTAGAAAGATAAAATTAACTGCTGAGAGAATGATAGTGTCTGATGTAGTTCAGTAGCACTTGTTCTTCTTGTTTCTGGAAGTGTTGAAAAGAAGAGATTATGACTGATAATTTATTTCATTGTCAAATTGTTAAATCCAAAAGTGTCATTTACCAGTGGTCACTTTCGAATCGAAACTTCCTATGAAATTATCAGCTACTAATCAGATCGAGAATGATACAAAATCAGCTGCTATATAATGCAGTAAAAATAAGTAATTTGATTTTCTGCAGAAGTGATAATTTGGCAAGTGATAATAATGCTAAGTGATTTTTATTGGTTCTTACTGATTCACATAATAGTAATATAGTATTACATAATATTTTAAACTCAAACGAAATTGCTATTTAAAAAATACGAAGGTCAAAGAAGAACGAAATGAGTACTGTATCATATCACTAGACATTTACAAAATTTAAAGAATTATCTTTTACAGTAACAAATAATTTTCAGCATAAATATAGCGGTTTCGTCTGATATATATGTAATATAACAAGCAGATAATATTATTGTATATAAATGACAGTACAATTATTAGTACATAGTCTAATGAAGAGTTCATCTGTGGTATTCAAGTAGTAACTTTATTTTACTTTTATAGACAACACATTACTTTACTCAAAATAAATAGCTACCTAATATGTCTCACAAATTATATTTGTATTATTAAAGTATTAGATATAAAAATGATTTGACAGCACCAAAGAAAGTCGCCAAATAGCTTATTAGCTACAATTGATGACAAGTGAACGAATCACATTTTAGATTGATCGTTGCAAAATTACTCAATTTATTCAGCTTAGGCAGTAATAATTTTATTTTTGGCACTAAAGTAAAGTAATATTATTATATAGCGTTGTTAGCATTTAGACTGAATGAATACGAGAAACACTTTGTTCAACTTCATTTCCATCAAAAATTATTGAAATTACCAAGTAAAACCAATTTTTAGACACATTATCATTTGTATTATTAATAGAGCTATTATTATTATCCACGAAGTGTAGTTCTCCGTTATTTTTGAGTTTTTGTATTCTACTTATCGTTATTTAAAACGAATTTATCAGCCATATTATTATTATCATTATATTTATTATTATTATTATTATTATTATTATTATTATTATTATTATTATTTATTATTATTATTATTATTATTATTATTATTATTATTATTATTATTGTTAATTATTATCATTGAAAATTATTATCATTAGTTATTGTTATTTCATTATTATCAATTTTTGATATTGTTACTTAATATTATTACTATCAAAAGAATAAATAAACAATAATCCCATATTAAATAATAAGCTCACGTCATAAAAAAATTAAAAACAATTTTACAGTCTTCAAATTATGTAAATATTTATGTATTTATAAGTAAGATAAGCATAATAATTAGCGAACAATGTTTTTGTTTTATTGGTTAGTAATATATTTATTTTATAAAAGAGTTTGAGAAAAGTCTTTCTTTTCTGCACTTTGCAAAGCAATTATTTGTAGTTGTTAAAAATTTGCATAAAGATTAGAGACGATTATTGGAATTAGCTGTCAGGTTGACATGCTGAAGTTAGTGAAGTAGAAGTAAAATGCTGTGAAGAAGGTGAAGTAAATTATTCGAAAGCAATAGAATTCGTTCATGCATACAATTTCTGATATAATTATCCTTATACTTTCATACATTGTTCATATTAGCATTTATATTTTTCATACTATTATTATTTAAGGTATAAGTACTTGAAAATTTACTTTTATAAATTTTATTTCCATTAAAAATAATTTTAATAACAATAGCATGTAAAAAATAGTTGTATTTAATAGTAATGTGAAAATTATTATTAGTAAATTTTATTGTTTATTTTAAATTTAAGTTATCATTAACGTGTAGAATAAATTTTTGATCTTAATAATGTATGAAAAATAGTCACAAATTTCAGTGTATAGTCTAAATTTAAATAATCAAAGAACTCAATATTTTAACTAAAAAGCTTTTTTAAACTAATTCATAAATTAGAAATATAAGAGTAACATAACTTTTTTATTCAATTAATTAATAAATAATGACAAATTAGTAAGTAATTATTCATGATTTTTGAAAGTACTCTTTGCACAGCACTTGCAACATTTATCACCTCAATTTTTTTTGCATATTTTGGAATAAAAAATTTAATAATTATTTACTTTTTTTTCGAAAAAGTTATAATTTGTATTGAAATTAAATAAAATATTCAAAATTAGTATTTTAGTTTGGTTATCATCTGAATGCAATTCATCTAGATTAATTAATTTATCAAATCCTGCTGAAAAAATTGTTACGAATAATATATTTTATACCAATGATGATAATAATAGTAATAATAATGATAATAATAATAATAACAATAATAATAATAATAGCAATAATAATATTATTATTATTACTACTAATAATAATGATTAAAAATGATACTAATAACATAAAAGTAAGTACTCCTCATAACATTTTAACTGAGCAAACTTTCAAAATTTAAAATTGCAATAAAATGAGTGTAATTTTTGATCAAAGGTAATAATAGTAGCAATAGTATTTGTATTAAAAAGTAATAATTTAATACAAAGAAAAGATCTTACTTAATTAATCAAATATTTCACTTTTTTGTTAATAATTCCATTCCAATATTAATAATTTTGTGTTCGTTACTTCTGAAAAATGCATAAAATATTAATTACCTCCTTAGAAATAATACGGCCTAAACCATTAATTATTTCATGCATTTTATTCTCAAACATTACAAAATGATAAAATGCTCGAAAATCTAAAAAAAATTGCAAAATAAAACCATTAAAAAATGACTGCATTGTTATTTAATACCAAAAAAATTGTTACTAATAATATTATTTTTTAAATAACAATAATAATAACAATAATAATAATAATAACAATAATGATCAAAAACATCGCAAATTATTTCTTGTCGGTCCGTAACATTTTCTATAACATTAGTAGCTATAATAATAAGTGAAAAGTGACTATGTGTACGTAGAGTAGGTTTGCTTTATAATATAATTAAAAATATTATTATACAAAAAGTAATTAAGTGTAGCTTTAAAATGTAAGTTTTGATATAAGTACTTAAGCACTTATTATAAGTAACAATTATTTTGTTTTTTCAAAGTATATAAAACTGCAATTTTTTATCGATATTCTGACGATTCTTGTTATTCCATACTATGTATTACTTGCTATGTATACTCTTTATCGTTAAAAAAACTAAACAATATACTTTCATACAAATCAATAATTGCTAAAC